GCCTGCAGGTGCCGACACCACCCGTGACCGCCTGCAGGTGCCGACACGCCCGCTCAGGTGACTGCTCGCCCAGCTACACGAACTGCTGCACATCACGTGACACGGTTTTAATGCTTTTCGCTACTACTGCTCAAGTTGTGTCCACGCGAGCCTCCGGACCCGTACTCTATAAAAGTACTTGTAACGTCAGGAGGCGGACATGCGCCCTTCGTGATGTAATGCTAGCAGGATGCTAGCTCCTTAGCTTTATTACTGTACCTTTGATTAACCTGAAACCCGAGCTGGGCAACGCAGACATCGGAGCAGCGGGCAAGTGTGACATGTCGCCTAAACTTGGGCTCGTCTCGTGTCCTCTGGACGGTGAGCGGACAGCGACAGGTAGCGAGGTCAAACTGCGTTAGCTTCTCCCAACTCTGCCCGGCTCTGAGGCTGCGCAGCGGCCAGAGAGTGCAGGCGAGCAAGATGTTTACCCGCACAGCACTTCCGGCTCTGAGGCTGCGCAGCGGCCAGAGAGTGCAGGCGAGCAAGATGTTTACCCGCACAGCACTTCCGGCTCTGCTTTACCGCCGTTCAAGACCAGACAAAACAAGACCATTTCTTATACTTTGTCTCATTAAGAGATTTGCAAATTGCCATGGAATATTAAATACGTATTACAGTATTTAAAAGTGAAATACTGTAACTGCCTGATTTAAGATTAATCGGAAGTTCGAAGTGTTCTAATAAAATAGTTTTAATTAAAAGAACTTTATCTTGTTCGGTTGTGGGCGCTTTGGCTTGTCTCATGTTCTGAGAGAAATTCATTCAAGCTGTGTGTGTGCGTGCGTGTGCGTGCGTGCGTGCGTGTGTGTGTGTGTGTGTGTTCAAGCTTCATTGAAGTCATACACTTGAAGTTCACTACATGTTTTATTTCTACAGGTTAGTCTCACTGTGTCATGAGACTCATTGACAAGATTACCTGTTTGAGACAAACACAGATGAGGTACAGACAATAATAATCATTCAACCTTTATTTATACAGGTAAATCCCATTGAGCCTCGAGGACTCATTTACAAGAGAGACCTGATTTAACAAAGAAAGATGACAACAATGGACAACAAGACAACAATAAACAGTTATAAAAAGCATACTACAGTTTTTTTTTTTTTTTTTTTAACAAATAGGATGGCTAAAAGGAAAATGTAACAAAACAAAAAACAGCTAGATTCCAAGACAAATGTAGAAAACTAAAAACAGGAACATGTCTGCATTGGACCCTGCCAGGAGTCCAACAGATTCTTAAAGACACTTAGAGAGGTCAAAGGTCGAGAGCTTCAGATCTTTTTGTAAGATATTCCAGGAAACAGGAGCGGAATAGGAGAAGGCCCTTTTGTCTAGTTCAGTCCTTATTGAGGGAACACTGCAGGTAATAATGTCCTGAGAGTGCACGCTGTAGCTGCACTCACACAGAGACATGTAGGAGGAGATGTATGAAGGCAGCAGACCAAGAAGTGATTTAAAGATGAAAATGTACCAGTGAGAGAGTCTGTGTGAAGTTAATGATGTCCAGTTAACCAGTGAATACTGGGTGCAGTGGTGGGTACGATAATCACAGCCAGTTATGAATCTTAGTGCACCATGATAGACAGCATCCAATATCTGCAGCATCCAACATCTGCAGCATCCAACATCTGCAGCATCCAACATCTGCAGGGTTCTTGTAGGAGCGTTCATGTAAATAATGTCACCGTAATCAATGGAGGGAAGGAAAGTCATAGATACAAGGTGTTTCCTAACATTCAGAGTTAGACAGGATCTGTTTCTGAAAAAGAAACCCAGTTTAACTTTCTGTTTCTTTATCAAGTTTTCCACGTGGAGCTTAAAAGAGAGATGTGAGTCGACCAAGATACCCAAATATTTATAGGAATCAACAAACTCAATAGAGACACCATTTGAGGATAAAATCGGAGGAAGAACTGCTGGGACCAACTTCCTATTTGAAAAAAGCATCCCTTTGGTTTTTTCGGCATTTAGGACAAGTTTAGACAATAAAAGCATATAAAATGAAAAGTAAATAAAAAATGATATAAAAATGAAACAAAGAAAATTATATTCAAAATAAATGCTACTATAGGTCTAGTTTAATGTTTTGGAGTGTGCGTGTCATGCTTTGATACAAATTAGTTAATAAAGTATATTTAAGATACATTAAATATACTTATATTAAAAAAAATATATATATATATGATATATATGCTATATATATGATATATATATATGCTATATATATATATATATATATATATGATATGTATATATATATATATATTTGTATATATATATATACATATATATATATATATATATACAAATATATATATATACAAATATATAAATAAATATATATATATATATATATTTGTATATATTTGTATACATATATACATACTCAAGATTCAAGGTTCTTTGTCATTCGCATCACATGTGGTACAAGAGGTTTAATGAAATTGTGTATTCAGTGTCCCAGTTACAACCAATAATGTAATCTATAAAAAATATAACGGTATACAAGGATCTAAGGTATATGCTAAACAGTTATAATAAGGTGTATTCAACAGTATCCTGAACATGAATGTGTAGGTATGAATACAGCAGCATAAAGTTAAGAAATCAGCTGTATAATTCACCACTCGCTCCCCATGAGATCGGATGCTTCCCTCCCTCCCTCTCCGCTTTGCTGCTCTGTCTGTCTGTGAAACTGCTTCTGAGACTCTGAGACTCTCTTGCATTTCTTCTGAACCATAATTATGGACTTGTTCTGACCAGTTGGTCCCTCAACTCAATTTACAACATTTCTTCAAGAGAAGACAGGCTTTAGGTGAGCCGATTTACCCTGTTGGCACGTACGCAGCTGGATATCTCATCGACTGGAAAACTTGATGATGTGTCTATCTCTGCTGCCATCTGTGGATTTTAAGGACGCACATTTAATTGGATTTACTATAACTGGTTCTTGCTTTTTGGATTCAGCTGGTCCTGGTTTTTATCAACAATCAAGGAAGTCGTCAGCAGCAAATTTGGACCCGATCACGCTACTTGCCTTTATGATGGCTTGGTTCGTGTTCTGGAGTACCCAGACTCAAATGCTTTGGGCTGAATGGCTCAGATCTCAGACACGTTTTCATCGGTGTAGCCATGTTAATTTGGACATTTCGGAACAGAGTAGATCGACACAGACTGAAGGTAGATGTCATTAAGTTCTGCCTGTCCCCAAAACATCTGTGTGTTTATCTAAATTTTGGTCGCCTTGGTGTCCTTGAAGGTCATCTTATCTAAAGTCGTCTGGAGAAAATGTGATCTGATGCTCACCACCCCCTCCCTGAGGAATTTCCAACTGATAAGCAGATGAAACCAGCTGAATAAACATTGTGTCATCATTTCAGGACTCTTGGATTCTCAGGGGTTATTCTTGGCCATTCCTCGACATCCCTCGAGAATGTTTATGGATCTCACCGGAGGACATTGACTGATTACAGTGACCTCGAGAGCATCTATAAGCGTTGTTGACCGCTCTCGTCTCTGATGCAGAATGTCTACGTGAATATGTGCTTGTTTGTGTGAAGTGTTTTTTCAATATTAGGGGTTTTTCTCAGCCAAGAAAAAAGTCTGATAGGAATATTTTTTGCCTCCAACTCCTACATGTGTCCAGTTAACCAGTTTTTGTCTGTCCAAACAGGTCTCACTTGTAAATGAGTCTTGGAGGCTCAATGTGATTTATCTGTTTAAATAAAGGTTGAATGAATAATTATCAGCACAGATAAAAGTGTCAAATCTCCAATAAAAGCAGCATTGCAGATCGTTACAAGAGATCCTTCCTGCCCACAGCCATCAGCATCTAGAACAACTCTTTAATGAAACCAGGATGAGTTACAACATTTAATTTACCTCTGGGAATAATAAAGTAGTTTTGAATTTTAATTGGTGATTATTCTGGTTATAGATTCATGAGTCTAACAGCCTCAGGGTAGAAGCTGTTCCTCAGTCTAGTGGTTCTACACTTAATGCTCCTCAACCTCCTTCCTGAGGGGAGCGGGGCAACAAGTGTGTGTGCTGGGTGAGTGTGGTCCTTCATGATGCAGGTGGCCCTCTTCCTGCATCTGGAGGTGTAGATGTCTGTGATGGTGGAGACTGACTCCAACATCTTCTGTGCAGCCTTCACCACTCTCTGCAAAGCTTTTCTTTCTGCAGCTGTGCAGCCTCCATGCCACACGTTGATGGTGGAGCACAGGATGCTCTCCACTGCACACCTGTAGAAGGAGGTGAGGACTGAGCTTCCCAGACCAGCTCGTCTCAGCCGTCTGAGGAAGTAGAGTCTCTGATGAGCTTTCTTGATCAGGCTGGTGGTGTTGTTGCTCCAGTTGAGGTTGTTGTTCAGGTGTACACCCAAGTACTTGTAGCTGGAGACCACTTCCACTGCAGATCCAATGTGTTTTTAATGTGGGTCATGACCAGTCTTTCAAAGCATTTAGCAACGATCAGGGTGAGGGCGACTGACCAATAGTCATTCAGACCAGTCACTGCAGAGCTCTTAGAACTGGGAGGATGGTGGCGGTCTTCAGACAGGTGGGAGCAGTAGCCTGGGTGAAGGAGTGAAAGATATTCATGCAATATGATGTAATGTTCATAGCACCCCCAGAGGTCGACAAAACCACCTTACTGACGTCTGCCATGACCAGTTCTCATCTTAATGTAAAACACAGAGGGGTAAAGTGTCCTAATTTTAAATATCACTGGGCCACTCAATTAAGGACCATCATGTTCTATTTTGCAGTTAAAGACAATCCACACTGGGTAGAAATGAAGTCTCGCAACTAAAAAATGAGCTCTTCCTCCATTTATATACTCTTTGACACAGCAAAAAAAATTACAGAAACAAATCATAAATCCAATTCTGAAAAACCTGATTAAAGTCTGACAAAAAATGTTAAAACATATCTGAAGGAGCCAAACGGTTTGTCACAGTTTGGTCCAGTATGGGGTAACCAGCAGTTTACTACTGGGATGTTCAAGCATCGTTAGGATTAAAACGTTTTGGTGACCTTTACCCATCAAATTCAGATTTACGTTCGTATGAAGGGCATGACTTCATATTTGTATAATGTGCCGATCTCTAACTCACCAGAGAACTCGAGTTAAACTCTTATGAACTGGAATGTGGACCCATCATCCACCATCAGAGAACAGGACTGTGAAAGGGCCTGCTCAAAAACCCAGTGTCCATAAACAGCCGTCTTAAAGTACTACAATTTAAATGGCTAATGCGTGTGCATGTTACAGCTGTACATTCAAATAAATACATCATCTCAGATGTTTGTGTAAAGTGCAACTCTACTTTAAAACACTGCATGTGGGAATGCAGACGAATAAACAGTTTGGAATGAGGAGAGATTATTGAAGATTCTCTCAAAGCAGATTACACTAGATCCTAAATTGTTCCCATTAGCCGTATATTCTGAAAAGCATAATTTTAGTAAAACAATGCATTTTTACAGATACAAGTGTGTGTAGTTGTGGCTTGGAAGAATGTCACCAGACCTAGTGGCACCCAGTGGTTAAAGCAGATGTCGTCTGATTTGCCTCTGGAAATAAAAGAATAATTAGGAAATCCCAACATCTGAGAAGATTTGGGCTCTTTTTATTAATTTTATTAAAGACTTAATATGAGAGGGCTGGCTGGAACCTGCGGGGCGACATGACGTGTGCAAGTGTCCTCAGTCGGTTTGATAATGCTCAGTCCCCGGTTGTTCATGAGCTCTGAAAATTTAAAAATATATATATATTTTTTTTTTGGGGGGGGGGGGGGGGGGATTAAACTTTTTTTTATTTCTCCTTCAATTGGAATTAGTTGAAGCCCCAAAATTGGGCTTATATATTTATGTTACTGTCAAAGAAGCTTGTGCATGATACAAGACTCTTCAGTGAAAAATGTCAATTAAAAATATATTTTGGTAAAAAACAGTTTCTCAAACTGATTTGTAAATCTCCCGTTACTAATTTCAGATCAACTAGAATCCCTTTTGACTGAATGGACATTTATGTGCAAACTGCTGGTCGGGGCCGTGCTGGCCTCAACGTTGCTTCAACGTGATGGTTTGCAGCTTCCACATCCTGAGGACTAAACAACACGGTCGCTTCACCGAGGCGTGTTGGAGCACGTGCTCGTGTACGTCCTGCAGGACGCGAGCGCAGCCTGGTGTAGCATGCAGGTATAAACGGGTGAACCAAACTGTCAAATGTCTGTACACCGATGTCACGAGGACGACGTGATGTCTTTGAAAAAGGCTGGAGAATGAGTCGACGCAGGAGACCAAGGTTTTTATTACACAGTTTAATCAACACACAAAGCTCAACGAGCCTCTCAGTAATTCAATATACAGAGGTGTGCAAGAAGAGTGGCTTCTCCTTGCACCCAGACCCCAAGCCAGTCCCATAGCCTTTTCAGATGTTAGCCGCTAATTTGACAATAGCAAAAGGAAAAAGGAGGGGGGGGGGGGGGGGGAAAAAAACAGAACAAAATAAAAACGAAGCAACCTAAAGAATCATGGGTGGGACATAAAAACAGGTTCAACTGACGAAGATGAATTGCTTAAATAGCTGGTCCAGAACCTCCACTTTGAAAATAAAGAAAAGGTGGTGGTGGTGGTGTTACAGCTGTGTGTGTGTGTGTGTGTGTGTGTGTGTGGGGGGGGGGGGGGGGGGTCCACGTGGGTGAATAGGTAAAAGAAGTTGGGTGCAGGAATGAGAAGCATGAGGTGTGTGAATAAATTCAAGTCCTTTAGTAGAATCCAACAAGCACAAACAGCAGCCATGTGCGTTTCTTCTGACATGTGACAGCTCGCAGTGACTCAGGAGTTTTCTTGACAAAATACAGAGGGCCCTCTGACCCGCGGGTCAAAACTGCTTTCTTCAATCGTCACCTCTACATGGAAATCATTAGAACAAAACGAGTGCAGTGTAAAAACCCCTCCATCCTTTTGTCCTGCTTCCCCTAGAAACAATGGGAAAAAAAAGGTCCCCTCAAAGATTTTTGCTGGGGGGGGTTATTTTCATAATGATGGGTGAGGATGAACCAAAACAAATACGGTGAGTTGGTGAGAGCCCAGCCTGCTCGGATGTCACAAAGAGACCAACACGAGCAAAAGTGAGGTCGTTGGATCAGGGAGAAACTGTTTATAACTTTAAGTTGACAATATGTACACCGGAGGACGAGCTGGGGGGAGTAGACAAAACGGGAGAGGAGGGGAGGTGGGGCGGAGGGAGTTTTACAGGTACTCTGGAGAAAGGGAGGCGTGGCTCAAAGAAAGCGCTCCAATGGAAACCAACAGGATCCTGTTTTAACTTCTCATTTGTTTGAATGGTTTGTGTTTTTACATCTGAATCTCTCCTGGCCGTACGTCGGAGAGCTGCTTGGCCGTGTTTCTCCCCCACCAACTACATTGCGTACTTTTGTGTCCATTCCCGAGCTATTTTGTTGTACCTGTGAAGAGAAAAAATAAAGAGATGAGTCTAGAGCGGACCCAAACATGTTCCACGTCAGCGCTGAATAAGAAGTCTGAGGAGACGGAAACAACCAGCTCAGGTGCAAAACAGCGTTCTGCTGACGAGGGCTCTGCAACCTGCGGCTCTAGAGCCACATTTAGGCCCTCTGCAGTGGCCCCCTCAGGCTCTCAGTGAAACTCGTGGTTACAGCAACAACACATTTAACAGTTTTCTCTCCTGTTCCTTTGTAAATATGAGAATACTAGTACTACAAGGAGTAAAACATACTTTAACTTTATTTCTTTAAAGTAGGATACTAAATTAATATCCTGCTCAATAATCCAGCTGAAAAATCTAAAAAGTGAAGTCTGGTCCAGAGACTAAATTAATCTTTCTGCAATAATCCATCAATCACAGGCCTGCACAGTTCCATGTTTTAATAAGAAAAATCAGTAAAATGTAATAAAGTAGGGGTGCACCGACTGTAGTTTTGTGGCTGATCACAGATCTGTAACAAGCCGGACCTGCTGATACTGGTTCAGTTTTATAATCGACACTGGCAGGAGTCATCAGGTCACAGTGCACCTTCAATCTTCCATCTGATTTGACTGAAAAACAGACCCTTGAACAATCCTAGAAACATTACAAACTGGTTTTAACTGGTCATGAGGTGGAGCTCTGAAATATAAATGAGGTTCAGACAACTGTTGTTAAAACTAAAGAAAAAACAAACAAAAAGGTCAAATCAGTTTCTCATGCAAGTACCGGCCGATGTCCCAACATTAAGGAAATCAGGGCTGGTTCATCGGTGCACCCCTGCTATATTGTAGTGATCACGTTTAGCAGGCTTCGTGTCCACACATTTCATTTGGGGACCCCTGTCCTTCAGGACGTGACAAAGGAACAAGAGCTCTCGGTCTGTGCAACTAAACATTCAGTCCTTCTGCTAAAACTTGGGCATATGCACGTTTTTACCTATTGACGTGATCAGGTGATGGAACGAGCCACAGATGTGCAACATGAGACCGTGTATATCATGTGACACACTGCATGTCCTAGTGGTGGAACGTACACATGAGTGTACCGTACCGTTGCAGTTATTTTTTCACTCATTAAATTTTATTAACGACAGATTATGAGCCGCGGAACTGAAGTTCCAGAGCGTGTTTCAGCACGGTGCTATTATCTTGCAGCACGCGCAGCATTAGCAGCCTAGCTTCTCGTTGTGGTCTCCTGTTTGGGAACATTGTGTGTTTCTGTGTTTCTTGTTAAAAGACAAGTGAACAAATCCAAAGCTGAGTGTCCTCGTTGTTTCACAGAGACTGGATCTGCAGCAGCAACACGTCCAACTTGTTAACACCCTGAAACGACATCACCTGAACGTGAACGTAGTGGAGCTTGCTTAGAAATGGCTTCCTCTTTGCAGGTAAGTATCTATCCATCCAAAGTATCCATCAATGTAAAGTATCCATCCATCTAAAGTATCCATCCATCTAAAGTATCCATCAATGTAAAGTATCCATCTATCTAAAGTATCCACCAATGTAAAGTATCCACCAATGTAAAGTATCCATCCATCTAAAGTATCCACCAATGTAAAGTATCCACCAATGTAAAGTATCCATCCATCTAAAGTATCCA